GCACTTTGGAAGCCAAGGTGGGCAGATCGCCTGAGGTCAGGAGTTCAAGATCAGCCTGACCAACATGGTGAAACCCCGTCTTTAAAAAAATAAAAACAAATAAAAAAATAATAAAAAATAAAAAATATGAATACTGTTACTTTAACTCCTTTTCATTATAGATTTTACTTCTAACAAAGTCAGTGAAAAGAAACGTGTTCACTCCAGAAACATGTAAAGAAAGTAAAATTATTAAAATACCAAATATTTAATTCTTGTGACAGATATTGAATCTGCTTTTAAAGAGTTAAGAAATTGCCATTTTCATGACAGTTTTTTCCTTCAACAGTCTTAATATTGAACCTTGAAATTTTTGTTTTAGGTCTGCTGGCTGGTCAGTGATTCTAGTCCAGCAAATTACTTTATGACTGAAAGCTCTTCTTTGTTTAGAAAAATGTACTGTGGAGATTAGGTCCTGTTTACTAACGAAGACTCTCTTTTCCAGGTCAAAACATTTTGTGGGAAAAGTCCTGTTCATGACCTGGGAGAAACAAGACAGAAAACAAATCCTACCTCATTTATGAATTTCTTACACAAGCAGTTTATGGATGTCTGGGCAACCGTAACACTTTACATTTAAAAACATACTATAGGGGCACATTTTCTGTGGTTAAAAACGATCTCCGGAATAAGTGTAAACTAGTTTTCCTTTTTATTGAGGGTTTTGGCTTTTTATTTGTAAATTAAATTGTTACCTACTCCTTGGTGCGGTGGTCTTGCTGGTTTATGTTGGACAGTAGTGTGGTAGCAATGCACAAATTCACAATTAGCCAACAGATCCTTCCTTTTCAACACTCTGTGACTGGAAACCATTAGAGGATTTTCAAAAACTGTCCCTCATAGCCCAAATTTTGGGTCTCTCAAAAATGAGAATAAGAAAATTGGCATTGTTGGGAGAAAAATCCTGTTTTACTGAAGCATGAACCGGCTCAGGCAAGCAAATAGCGGGAGTTAGCACAGGAAGGGGAGTGTGCTGCAGGGATGTCTGGCGACGTCACCTTCAAAACTAAAGCGGTTCCAGGTGGACAGACGAGTCCCTGATCATGTTTCTGATCATGTTGTGACTGCATTGTGAACCTTCATTGTCTTCACAGTCTTGCCCCTTACCTAGTGAGGCTTTTCTGAACTTGGAGGGAGACATCTAGAAATCCCAGTTTTGCTGTGTAAGGACCATTAGCTGCAAGTCATTGGAAGTCAAAAGAAAGCAGTGTAAATTCCAAAGTGGTCTTGACTTAGCAAGGATATGGGGTAAGTCTAAAACTTTAGATTTAAGGCTTTGAAACATGTTAACTGCATGAAATAGTAAACATTTCAAACTCTTTGGCCTTGGTCATTTTGTGACCCAGGTTTTTCAGTCTGTTGTATGTCTCCTGCCTGCCTTGTTTTGCTAATCCTCCTCCTCCTCGAGCTTCTCCACTCCATTTTTATTCTGGGCATCCAATCCACCCTTTCACAGTGTGTGCTTCATCAGGTCCCTGGTTCACATCTGAGTACCTTATAAGCCTTGCCAGCACTAGTATATTTGCAGTAACAGTTGTGGGGGTGGGGTGGGGTGGGTGTGTGTGTGTGTGTGTGGTGTGTGTGTGTGTGTGTGTGTGTGTGTGTGTTGGGGGAAGCTTTACTTTCAAAGCTATCCAATATAATGTATACAAAGCAGAACCCAGGAAGTAGCACCTGAGCTTCCAATCGACTTTCCTGATGATTCCACTGAATAAGATTCTCCACATTTAAGACTCAAGATAGGATTGACTTGATAGTGTATAAAAATGGAAGTTTTCTACTTCTGGACTGAAACCAAACGCCTCATATCTAATTGTAGTTATTCAACATCAGAATCCCTCTTTTTGGCAGAACAGACAAAAGAATGTGTACTTTCTACTACAGCCATTACAGCAAACTAGATCTGAGTGCGGTTGCTAGTAAATTAACTGAACAGCCCAATTATGTTGTCCTTACACAAGCAGACACTGGAAAGGAGTAATGGCAGAGGACATGACTGAGTCTGGCTACAGCCATGCATCCCATCTGTGGTGAGCTTAGTGCCGAGATCGCCTGTATCCTAGGCCGTGAACTGAATCATGTACTGTATCTGACTTCATAGCCTTCCAGGGGAAAGGTTAGGACATCTGGACATGACTACGGCTATGTCCTCTGTCACATAAGCTGTGCTGCATACACTAACTACACGAGGGTCCCTTGGGCCTTGACCTGTGGTTCTAAACTTTATCTATAAACCTTTGGTAAGGTGCTGCCTGAGAACTGCTTTGTTTTCCAGAGGGATCATTGCTCAGGCTTTTTTCCCCCAAAAATAATTTTGAACTATGTGCCGATTCCTATTTGGTTTATGGCTTAGACACCCTGCCTTCCTGATCAACAGCAGGCCACCTCCTCATGTGTTCCTCTGAGGCTGTTCATTCACATCTGTAGTTGGACTCCTACTGTCTCCTTTATTGCTCCTGACCTGCACTACTGCTGACTCACATCTCCTTCTCCCCCCACAAAGCTATGAAACCAGATACATTACATGATTCAATTTAGTTGAAAAAAAGTCCAATCTCAGCCCTCATTTAGCTAAAAAATTGCAAATATCAACCATGTTTTAAAGTTTGAAACTTGAGATCTAAAAGGAAACAGACCAACATCATAATGTTTTATTGACAAAACCATAGGAAAAGGCAGTTTTAGGATGTAAAGTAAAAATGGTGCTCTGAAATATCTACACAAATATGAATTCTGAAAAGTTTTCATTAAAATCGTATTTTATACAATTAGAAACCAATGAGGAACAAAACAATTTTCAACTTCTCCATAACCCAGACTGAGCTTGATTTATGCTTGCCAGATATTTGAGAGGATCTGAGTTCAACCTGTGGGTAATATACAGAAGCAGGAACTCTTCAAGACAGCGTGGCGGCTCCCACGCAGCTGACAGGTAACAGGCTTGGCTGTTACCTAAGTCCCATCTTCCCAGTTGGTACTCAAAACAAGGTTACAAGATGTGGCTTTAAAAAAATGTACAGATTCCAAGAACAAAGTTAAAACCTCATTTTTTTGTTTTGTTTTGTTTTTGAGACAGGATCTCATTCTGTCACCTAGGCTGGAGTGCAGTGGCCGTTCAGGTTCGCTGCAGCCTTGACCTCCCAGCCAAGCAGTCCTTTCACCTCAGCTTCCTGAGTAGCTGGGACTACGGGTGTGTGCCACCCATGTTACCCAGGCTGGTCTCGAACTCTTGCACTTAAGCGGTCCTCCAGCCTCAGCCTTCAAAGCACTGGGATTATTGGTGTGAGCCACGACACCTGGTCAAAAGTTCACATTTAATATTCTCTTTTATGCCTCATAGTATACTGATTTACATTCTTGCTAAATCTTAAAGACTCTCTTGTTACCCTCTGAAAAGATTAGTGACTACAGCACATTTACAAAGTGACTGCCCTCTCCACCTTTTGTGCTTAGGGAATGTGTGGCTACTGCCTACTAGAAAAAGATCAGCCCTCCCCAACCCCTTCAAGGGCAGCAAACGCACACTTTATTCCATGCTTGGGTAACTTGACTATAACATGGCTCCCTTGCTGTAAGCAAATGCTTTAGAGTTGAATTTTTTCTTTTTTTTTAAACACAGAAGTTCACCAGGGCTAACAAAAAATTTCAAGTTAAGAAAATAAGTCTTGCTGGGTGCAGTGGCTCACATCTGTAATCCCAGCACTTTGGAGGCCGAGGCGGTTGGATCACCTGAGGCCAGGAGTTCGAGACCAGCTTGCCCAACACGGAGAAACCCCGTCTCTACTAAAAATACAAAATTACCTGGGCATGCCTGTAATCCCAGCTACTTGGGGGGCGGAGGTTGCCGTGAGCTGAGGTCGTGCCATTGCACTCCAGCCTTGGCAACAAGAGCAAAACTCCATCTCCAAAAAAAAGAAAAAGTCTTTAATTTTCTTAAATAATCCTCATATGTACTATCCACATTGTGGAAAAACTGAAATATGCAGTCTGGACACTGCACTGAGATTCCAGCACCCTGGCAGAGACACAGCTATGTCGCATCTTACAGACTACAACAGACAACAGGCTTGCTTGCAAGAGGTTTAGACAAAACTTTACATGGATGTGCTGGAATTCCAAACTGCTGTCAGAGAGTACAGGAATCGGTCTGCAGAGAACTCCCAATCCCTTCCGTTTGGTCACTGCAGCTGCACTCTATACGCACCTATTAGCAACTTAACCTGTTGAAGGAAGAGAATGCAGGTGTCAGTATAGATCCAGAAGAAAACCCACACATATCCGAGGTTTGCTTCTATTATTTGGCAATATTTTCAGGTTGCTTATCATCAGTTTACACTGTTAGATCATTGCCATTTTAATTCAAGAAATAATTCCAAGTGCTTATAATTTTATATTACTGTTTTATTAGACAGACTATTTTGTCCAGCTTCCTTTCACACAAGAGATTGGGGACCGCCCTAAAGATAACACATTTGGCAATTCCATACCAAGGCCTAGAACGGGATTCAGATGGCTGCATCCTCTAGAGAGCGTTCTTCTCAGCTGCAGCCTAGTCGTTTTCCTGCCACATTATCATGTCTAACACAGAGTAGACCGAGGGGGTGCACCAAGCATCACTGCTCAAGGAAGTGCCTGTCTCTAGGACAGGCACACCAGGATTCTTGGAATTCTTTTTTCTAATAATGACACAGTAATCTGGAGTAACAACTTGAGTAGTGACACTAAATATGGAGAAAGGATTTTCACCTTGGCAGAGGGTGCTTCCGTCAACCTTATGAAGAGCTTATTGGGACCTGCAATAGGGCTGAATGAGTAAACAAAATGACTGTCCTACAATGGAAAGAAAAAAAAAATCAGTGTTTTTTCACACAAACTTAGACCAGAAGCCTTTAAAACATCAATGTTGTAAAAGAATCATAAATTTTATTTTTATTATTTATTGTTTTTGAGATGGAATCTCTGTTGCCCAGGCTAGAGGCTGTGGTGTGATCTTGGCTCACTGAAGCCTCTGCCTCCCAGGTTCCAGTGATTCTCCTGCCTCAGCCTCCTGGGTAGAGATTACAGGTGCATGCCAAATGCCCGGCTAATTTTTGAATCGTTAGCAGAGACGGGGTTTCACTATGTTGGCCAGGCTGGTCTTGAACTCCTGACCTCAGGTGATCTGCCCACCTGGGCCACCCAAAGTGCTTATTTTTAATTCGTAAGTCAGTATGTTGTGGAGGCCAAGGTGGCAGATCGCTTGAGCCTAGAAGTTTGAGACCAGCCTGGCCAACATGGTGAAACCCTGTCTCTACAAAAAATACAAAAAATTAGCTGGGTGTGGTGGCACCTCTGTAGTCCCAGGTAGTTGGGAGGCTGAAGCAGGAGGATTGCTTGTGCCTGGGAGGTGGAGGCTGCAGTGGGCTGTGATCCATGCCACTGCACTCCAGCCTGGATAACAAAGCGAGAGGGTCTCAGAAAAAAAAATTGTCATCTATTTTTCCCTTGATTAAAAATATACAAATGACAAAATTAATCCAGGAAACTGGATTAAAATGCACCCAGTCATATACAGTACAAGTGTTAAAGTGACTATATCCAGCTAATTTTGCTTAATTGAGTCCAAGGAAATAATTCTAAAAGTGGCCAAGTAATTATGTACAGAGTCTTTGAGATCATTAAGAATTTATATTCAGAACAATGATGGTCCTAAGGCAGCATAGTAAGCATAATTTAAGGCAAAAAATAAACAGGAAAAACTCCTACTGACAAAATTTAGGATAATCTTACTTTATGGGTAAAATTATTACCCAGAAAGTATTAATGGGTAATATTAATTGGGTCATTTTCTGAACAATTTTATTAAGACACAAAAAATTTAAAATTAAGTCAACTACTATTAATTGGGCCCTTTTCTGAACAATTATATTTTATTAAGACACTAAAATTAAGTCATCTGTGCTTTTGATTGGAAGAATATACTTTTCAGTAGTGAAATACAGAGTATCTTACCAGAAAAACAGGAAGTTGAAATTTATCATTCAGAACTACAGCTTGTACACTGCATGGTCCACAGAGCCGCGCAATAACTTCTTTACCCAAAAAGTTTGCATGGAAGATAAACAGCAGGATGCCAGAGCCTGAACACACGGGAGATGTGTGTGAATTACTCCAAATGCAACCTTGAGCCCCCAGAGGGAATATCCACGCCAGATGGAAGAGGGCCCCTGAGCTGGGCCTGGTCAGACAAGCATCACCCACTCCAGCTGGAGGCTCAGAGGAGGCTGGCCGTCTCAACGCTTGTGTCACCTGGCATTTTTCAACCCACAGAACCCTTTTTACCTTTTGCCCAAGTAACCTCTACTGACAGTTCATGGAAAAGACTTAAGTACGATTTTCTACACTGAAATTATTAAACTGGTATTTAAAGGTTGCTGCTGAATGAGCACACGTCCCAGGGACATTCCCGTGGTGGGCGTCTTTGGGTGTGGGTCTGAGTGGTTTTCCATTTTCTTCCACATACTCTTTGGTCCCTTCCAAATTTTCTGATTAACATATACCAAAAATTGGCCAGGCATGGTGGCTCACAACTGTAATCCTAGCACTTTGGGAGGCTGAGGTGGGCGGATCACCTGAGGTCAGGAAATCAAGACCAGCCTGACCAACATGGAGAAACCCTGTCTCTACTAAAAATACAAAATTAGCCAGGTGTGGTGGCACATGCCTGTAATCCCAGTTACTCTGGAGGCTGAGGCAGGGGAATCGGTTGAACCTGGAAGGCGGAGGTTGCAGTGAGCCAAGATCGCACCACTACACTCCAGCCTGGGGAACGGAGTGAGACTCCATCTCAATCAATCAATCAATCAATCAATATTGGTTGATGCAGACCTTGTGCCCATGCTGAAAAAACTCTGCAGGCCCAGCTGCTGTGGGTGTCAGTGGGTGCTCAGGTTCACCAGGGCCAGCCCAGGCCATCACTCTCTGGTGCCCACACCTGGCAATGCAGATGCTCCATGTGAATAAACAAAACTAAATTATTGGCCGAGCATGGTGACTCGTGCCTGTAATCCCAGCACTTTGGGAGGCCGAGGCAGGCAGATCACTTGAGGTCTGGAGTTTGAGTACAGCCTGACCAACACGGCCCCAACTCTACTAATAGTAAACTACAAAAATTAGTTGGGTGTGGCAGCGGGTGCCTGTAGTCCCACCCACTCTGGAGGATGAGGCAGAAGAATCACTTGAACCCAGAAGGCAGAGGTTGCAGTTAGCTGAGATCGTGCCACTGCACGCCAGTCTAGGTGACAGAGGGAGACTCCCTCTCAAAAAAAAAAACAACTATAAATTATGATTTCACGTCAAGTTCTCTCAACACTAAGATATTACAAATGGCTCTTTCAGGGTCATGGCTATATGTTCTTAAATACATTTTCCAGGAATGAATACAAACCATTTACAAAATGGGGAACAAGGGTTTCTAAGCAAAAAAAGGCTAGAGTCCAGCTTCCTCCCCCTGGCAGACAGTGCTGCTTCCACATCTACTTAGCACCGTGCCTAGGGAGGGCCAGCCGCAGTCCTGCCTGGAGAGCAGCTGTTGGGCAGAGGCTAGAGAGGAATTGGCATTTCCATCTCTTTCCACTCAGTTTTACTATGGGCAAGACTATTTTTCTTTTTCAAAGGGCAAAGACTATTACAAACAAAATTCAGGGAAAAAACATTCTAGGCTTAGAATCCTGAAGCTGAATTTTAATAAAACTCATTAGGAACCAGTGTCATTAAGACGCAACTTCCAAGCTCAAAATGGGTGTTAAAACAGGGAAGGGGGTGTCAGCTGGGTCTCTCTTCCACCAGAGCAGCTCGGCTGTTAACTGGTCTGCAGAGTTATTACACGTAATGGAATTTCCTTAAAGTTTTGTTCAACGAAAAGATTCTGTCAAAAAGTCTGTTAATATAGTGTCACACTTCACATAGAAAAGTGTGAAGAGAGGCACAGGCTTACCTTCTGCTATGTTCTGTGGGGGTTTGTAATTGAAATCTGTTGAAAAATCTGGCCCCTCACAGAGTCGATGGCATGCAATTGGAAAAACGGGTTCTAGCAGAGCAAGGCGAGCTTCAAAGTAATCCTTTATTGTCTCTTCTGCTACTCTGGAAAGTCTAAGAAAAAAAAATAGTAGGCATTGCTAACAATGTAGAAAAGAACCACAAGCCTGTCAAATACTAGTGAGGCCAACCTTCCAAAAGAGAGCTGCAGCTGCTTGCCTCTACTTTCCAGCTCTCCCTCCACCAGCACCGGACAGCCGTGGATCTGTCTTGTTGTCCATCTCAGTGTAAGCGAAGTCTCTTCCCCTCACTGCCATTTCCAACTTCCTAGCCTTTAGAACAGTGCTTGGCACAAGTCTATGTGTAATACATAGTTGTCTAATGAATCAGTGGAAAATCAGAAATGGGAACCCCTCAGTCCTGGGCAATTCAGGAAAGTGGGTCCCTCTACTTGCTGGATCTCTGCAAACACCCCGTGTGAACAGAGGAGTCAGGACTCCAGCCATCAGCAGCACTGAGGGCGACGGGCGCGGTCCTAGAGGCCCACTCGAGACCTGCTACGTAAACACCCGCCTTGAGTTTGCTACTGTCTGTGAGAGTTTGATACGTGTTGCTAAAAGAGTTAAGTGACAGAATACTAAACTGTTTTAAGTACGAACTTGCAATCAAATAAAATGTGATTTAGAATTTATTTGAAAAAGAATGAACTGAATAAACTGGTAAATCCTGACAACCGACAACAGAATATTAATCAGAAATGCACTATCAAGACATGGAAGGAATCTTGGATGCCTATTACTAAATGAAAAAGGCCAATCTGAAAAGGCCAAATAATGTGCGATTCCAACTGTTCTGGGTAGGGCAAAACATGAAGACAGTAAAATTACTGGCGGTTGTCAAGGGCTAGGGGAGGGAAGGATGAACAGGTGGAAAACACAGGCTTTTTAAGGCCATGAAACTATTCTCTATGACACTGTGATGAGGGATGGATGTCATTATGTATTTGTCCAAATCCAGAGAATGTGTAACACCACGAGTGAGCCCTAATGTCAATGCTGTGCTCCGGGTGATTATGAGGTGTCCCTATAGGCACATTGGCTGTAAGTAATGTACCACTGTGGGTGACTGGGGTCTCAACAGTGGGGGAGGATGGTGTGGGGGGAGGCTTCGAAATATGTACCTTCCATTTAACTTTGCTGTGCTTAAAACTGTGGCAAGAAATAAAGTCTATTAAAAAGAAAGACAAAAGTTTAAAGTTTTTTTTTTTTTTTTGAGATGGAGTCTCACTCTGTCACCCAGGCTGGAGTGCGGTAGCGCCATCTTGGCACACTGCAACCTCCGCCGCCTGGCTTCAAGCGATTCTCCTGCCTCAGCCTCCCGAGTAGCTGGGATTACAGGCACCCACCGCCACGCGTGGCTAATTTCTTTTTTAGTAGAGATGGGGTTTCACCATGTTGGCTGGGCTGGTCTCAAACTCCTGACCTCAAGTGACCCACCCACCTTAGCCTCCCAATGCACTAGAATTACAAGTATGAACCACTGTGCCCAGCCAAGTTTAAATGTTTTTAAGAAAATGTCTACTAACCAAATTAAGAGTATACTTAAGATTTAAGAAAAATATTCCCAGATAGGCCAATGTTAACTTCGAAATTTTTTGAGACTTAGCTGGGCGCAATTGATCATGCCTCTAATCCCAGCACTCTGGGAGGCCGATGTGGGTGGATCATGAGGTCAGGAGTTCGAGACCAGCCTGGCCAACATGGCAAAACCCCGTCTCTACTAATACAAAATTTAGCCAGGTGTTGTGGCAGGCGCCTGTAATCCCAGCTACTCGGGAAGCTGAGGCAGGAGAATCAGCTGAACCTGGGAGGTGGAGGTTGTGGTGAGCCGAAAGATTGTGCCACTGCATTACAGCCTGGGTGACAAGAGCAAGGCTCCATCTCAAAAAAAAAAAAAAAATTTTTTTTGAGAAATAACTTGCAGAGAAATAATTCACATGCCATTTATTAATCTGTGACCTACTGGAAACAAAACCACCAGGACTTGTGCTGGATGTCTTTCTGACACACAGGGCACTCCAATTACAACGTGTCTACATAAACAGGTGTATGCTACGGGACTTAACCACGGCACAGTCCTTCCCACTTACGTCTCTAAATGGCTCTTCAGCAAGTCGTACACAAGCACGTTGTTAGACTGCTTCGCAAAGTGCAGGGCACTGTTTTGGTGCTTTGACAAAATGTTGCAGTCAGCTCCACATTCAATTACAAGTCGTACGATGTCTGAATTTCCTCTTTTACAGGCCTAGGTCAGGTAAAAAGGAGTAACAATTACTTAGCTATAAACTGTGGTAACACTACCCACAGCTGCTGGTTCCGTCTCTATGCATGCCTGGGGGTTCTCTGTGAAGAGAGGGCACAGGGCAGGGAAGAGGGGAGAGAATTTATGGGGCTTGCCAGGCCATGGCATTAGGAGTCACACAGTGTTGTTTAAATGCAAGTGGGGAATATCTTTGACTCAGGGGCCAACACAGAAATCTGTGTGCTATATTCAGTCAATTTCTTCACTTAATTTTCAGGAAATGGGTAACTTCAAAAAGGATGCTTCAGTCCCAAGACAGAACAGACACCAGGCCTTGCTAAGCAGTCCCCTGCTGTCCTCTGTCCCTGCCATGCTGTCCCCCGTGAGCCAGCCTCTCAGCAGAGGCACAGAGATATGCAAGCCTAGCCCTCACTATAGAGAGCTTTTTCTCCAGAATCTCAAAAGCACCTCTCATAACCTCAAAATGTCCCCAGCTGCTGCTGTAAAGGAGACACCCAAGCACAGGTATGAATCTGAATTTGCAAATCTATGATGGAGCTGTGGCACAGTCGACAGTTTCTGTCTCTGCCACTTACTAGCCACGTGACTTCAGATAAGTCCCTTAATTCTTCTGAGGCTCACGTTTCCATCTGTGAAAGGAGATGAGGGTCCCTGTGCCTCCCTACCCTGTGAGGCAGATGCTGGGAGGGTGAGAGGCCCCGCTGGGACCCACAGAGCCCACAGTGACGGGCGAGGGCAGACCCTCTGCACCTGCCCGCTCTGGTAAGAACCAATGTAGACACTTTCTCCTCAGGTGAAAAGGTTTTTGTTTTAATTTCTGAAAATTACTATGTTTACATCTCATTCTAAAACTCAAAAAAACTTGAACATGCTAAATCCTGAAAGCAATTAAAATACAGATTTTCAGGGACAAACACTTAAAAAAACTTCATGGCAGATAAAGGCAGTCTATGGAATTCAGACACAGTGAAATAAGTGCTATGTGTCCTCTCAGGGAAGAAATGCCACGCCCTCCCCAACCCACTTCCAGAGCCATCTCCCCTCTGTGCCCCACTCCCCAACTCAACACCAGACCTCAGCAAGGCAGGCAGCCCTGAGGAGCTGACCCGGGTGCCTGCTGTGCCAGGGGAGGTGCTGCCTGCCGAGGACCACTTCCGTCCGCCCCGTGGCTCTCACAGTCCCTCCTCCTCCTCCTCCGCTTCTCCCCACGCAGGCTTCTTCCATCTATGGCCCTTTTCTCCTTTCCAATTCCCCATGGATGACCCCACTCTCAACCTATGGCTACAGTCACTGTTGCAGAGCTGAAGGCAACAAACCCGAATCTCCAGTCCGTACCTCTCTCCTGAGCCCAGGATCCCCAGTGAAATGTGCAGAGGTGACATATAAACAACCCAATGCTCAACTCCCCCAATCTGTGCCACCTGTGCCCCCAATTAGGAAATGGAATGCCCAGGCGTCACCTCCAGTTACCAAGCTCTGTGAATTCTACCTCCTACCAAGTGGTCACCTCACCTGCTCCACCCCTTCTGCCACTACTGAGATACGGACTTGTTATTTCAAGTAACCTGGAGACCCGACAAGTCTGCAAACTATCTTCCTCCCAATCTATGCCTCTTCTGTACTGAGAAGCGTTAAAACAAACAAATGAAAACCCTCTAATCCGATTCTACCCTTCTCCAGCTTCAACCAACCTTGCTGTGGCTCCCCAGTGCCCTCAGACTTGGCCCACAGGGGCTTCTGTGCCCACCCACCTCTCTCATGCCCTAGACACATCTGCGTGGCTGCAGTTCAGGGTGTACCTGGCCATCTGTCACCAAGATGATGCTTTGAGAGGCCACCTCGGCTCCACACACAGCAACCACAGAAACAAATGAAGGGAAACAAAAGACAAACCTCAGACTCCTGAACAAAATGAACATTCCCATGCACCAAAAGGAAAGTGCTTGAGGCCAGGAGCTCAAGACCAGCCTGGGCAACACAGTGATATCCTGCCTTTAATAAGAAAAAAAAAATGGCTGGGCATGGTGTCATGCACTTGGGAGCCTGAGGGAAGAGACACTTGAGCTTGGGAAGTCAAGGCTTCAGTGAGGCATGATGGTGCCACTGCACTCCAGCCTGGGTGGCAGAGGAGACTGTTTATGGGCCTCGTGCAGCAGAAGGCCAAGGGACAGGTGGTCTGGGCCTTCAGAATAGGGTTCACAGTGGGATTCAATGCCAGGTGCCCTGCAGACCTGGGGCCTGGCTATGTTCTTTTGCTTACTGGGGCCAGAGGCTGGAATGGACACTGGGCAGGCCCCTGCTTGGCTCAACGGCTTACACAGAGCCAAGCATCCCAGGGACACAAGAGGACACGTGCCCATGGGGAGCTGAGCCAGCCACCCCTGGCTGGGTGTCTGGACCTGCTACATCCTAACAGCATCTTGGGCCAGGAACCCACAACTGCCGCAGAGGAACCAACCAGACCGGGCAGGGCCCCCTGAGACAAATGCCAAACTGCTGACCTTCCTCTCAAAACCTGTCTGGAAATCGCGTTCCAGAACACAGGAGCAAGCCCAAGGTGACAAATTCACCATCATAAAATGTCGAACACACAGAGCACACGAGGAGCTCCATCCCACCCTCGGCCCGGCTTCGAGGCCGGCAGCCTCCCCACTGCTCCAGCTGTGGCTGGAGTGCCCTCCCTGCTGACTTGACTGCCATTTAGGACACAGTGTGGCACTGGCCTCATCCACCCTAAGGACTGCCAGTGTCCCCAGGGCCTAGCTTGGAACACTTCCCTGTGACCTCCAATCATACCACTGCCCATATGAGCTCTCACTGCTGCCCTGCTGGCCCGTTTCTCCTCCTTCCACGTGAGCGGCTGGACTCCAGGACTGTCTTGGTACCCACCGTGTTCTCAGTCCCCAGCACAGTGCCTGACAGTGGCAGATGCCAACACAAGCACCAGCCAACGTACTGAAGAAAGGGACGACCCACAGGAGGGGTTTACCTTCATCAGCGCAGTCTCACCATTGCTTTGCTGGACATTTACAAAAGCTCCTGCTTCCAAAAGAATAGCCACTGTAGTTAAAAAGTTCTATTAAAAGAAAAAAAAAGCGAATTTAATGCCCCAAATTATTTAAAAGACAGTTTTCAGCTATTTTGAAACTTTTAGTCATCAGGAAAAATACCCGGCAGGTTCTATTGCAAGTGGCTGTGGGCCACAGCATTTATGTGGGGCCACGGGGCTGAGCCCTGTCCCACAGATGCCCACGCTCGGCCACTCACTGTGCTGCCAGCAACAACTGCTACCTGAGTGGAACCACTGGCTCCAACCTAACAGCCTCTGCATATAAATTCTTTAAAAAGATATAAATCCTTTGAAAAGGTGTGGTGGCTCACGCCTGTAATCCCAGCCAGCACTTTGGGAGGCTGAGGCGGGTGGATCACGAGGTCAAGAGATCGAGACCATCCTCGCCAACATTGTGAAACGCCGTCTCTACTAAAAATACAAAAATTAGCAGGGCGTGGTGGTGCGTGCCTGAAGTGCCAGCTACTTAGGAGGCTGAGGCAGGAGAATCACTTGAACTCTTGACCTCAGGTGATCCACCCACCTTGGCTTCCCAAAGTGCTAGGATTACAGGCGTGAGCCACCACGCCCGGCCTGAGAATCACTTGAATCTGGGAGGCAGAGGATGCAGTGAGCCAAGATCGTGTCACTGCATTCCAGCCTGGCAACAGAGCTAGACTCTGTCTCAAAAAAAAAAAGAAAGATACTGGGAGGCAGAGGTGGGTGGATCACCTGAAGTCAGGGGTTTGAGGCCAGCCTGGCCAACATGGTGAAACCCATCTGTACTAAAAATATAAAAATTAGCCAGGCGTGGTGGCACACGCCTACAGTACCAGCTACTGGGGAGGCTGACGCAGGAGAATCTCCTGAACCCAGGAGGCAGAGGTTGCAGTGAGCTGAGATCACGCCACTGCACTCCAACCTGGGCGACAAAAAAAAAAAGAAAAAGAAAAAGATGATATATGGGAACATTTCAATTAAATTATTAACCAAAAGGAATACAAATACAGTTGGAAAAAAACTTGAAATTATCTAGGATTAAAATTAATATTAGTACTTTAATCAGAGTACTTTAATATAAATTATTTCCAATGAGATAAATCACATTTTGAAATGTGATTACAATGCACTATTGATAAATCCATTCATTACATGTCACAGATCAACTGAAACATGAAATTAAAAAGTTACCCTGGTTGGGCGTGGTGGCTCATGCCTGTGATCCCAGCACTTTAACCGAGGCAGGAGGATCACTTGAGCCCAGGCCGGGCAACACAGTGACACCGTGTCTCTACAAATTTTTTTTTTTTTTGAGACGGAGTCTTGCTCTGTTGCCAGGGTGGAGTGCAGTGGCGTCATCTTGGCTCACTGCAACCTCTGCCTTCCCAGGTTCAAGTCTCCTGCCTCAGCCTCCCAAGTGGCTGAGACTACAGGCATGTGCCACCACGTCCAGCTGATTTTTGTATTTTTAGAAGAGACAGGGTTTCACCATGTTGGTCAGGATGTTCTTGATCTCTTGACCTCGTGATCCGCCTGCCTCGGCCTCCCAAAGTGCTGGGATTACAGGCGTGAGCCACCGCACCTGGCCCCTAAAAAAATTTAAAAAATTAGCCAGGTGTGGTAGCGCATGCTTAGTCCCAGCTACTTGGGAGGCTGAGGCAAGGGATTGCTTGGGTCCAGGGAGTTTGAAGCTGCAGTGAGTTATGATGGCACACTGCACCCCAGCCCGTGGGACAGAGACCTTATTTCTAAAAATAAATTTTTAAAAAGCGATGTGGCCACGTGACTGCTATATTTCACTACCGAAGAGATCCTCTCAGGCCGTCGGCAGAAATACCATGAAAGCTCTGAAATGGATGCATGAGAAGCCACAAACCTTCTCTGCAGCATGAATGAGGGCGGTGGTCCCGTTCTTCTGCCGACCGTTCACTTTCGCGCCTTTCGTGATGAGGAGTCGCAGGAGGTCATCCTGCCCTCCTGCAGCGGCAAGCATCACCAGTGTCATCCCACTGGAATCCTGTGTTGGTTTTGTTAAGTAAAAAACTTGTTAATCTTTAGTCAGAACAATTTCAGAACCAATCTCTTCACTTGAGATGTTTCAATGTGAAATCACTAATGGGGAATAATTTAAGCATCTACTTAGGATTTTCGCTAAAATATCCCAACCATCAGAAACTAGTAGCTTTTAGAATATTTTTCACATGTAAATGCTTGTATAAAGTTTTACAGCTTTCCTCTACAGGCCCACCTCGTTTCACTGAGCTTTGCTTTACTGCACTTCACAGGGACTTTGTTTTTTACAAATTGAAGGTTTGTGGCAACCCTGCCACAAGCAAGTTTACTCACACCATTACTCCCACGGCATGTGCTCATTTTGTGTCGTTCTGTCGGCATTCTTTACCAGTAGAGTATTTGTAAATTAAGATATATAGTTTTTTTTTTTTTAAAAAAGATGTAATGCTCTTCACACTTAGACTATAGTATAATGTAAACCTAACTTTTATATGCACCAGGAAACCAAAAATTTGTGTGACTCCCTTTATTGCAAGAGTCTGGAACCAAACTCACAATATCTCCAAGGAATGCTTGAATTTTTTTGTTGGTGTTGTTTTTCCTTCTTTCTTTTTTATTGAGACAGGATGTTGCTGTGTTGTCCAGGCTGGTCTCAACTCCTGGGCTTAAGCACTCCTCCTGCCTCAGCCTCGGGTAGCTGGGATTACAGGTGCGCACCACCATGCCCAGCTCTCATTTTTGTATCTTTTTTGTTTTTATTTTGTGTATTAAATCCTAAAGGCACATATAATGCTTGCACCATATAAAATGAAGTGAATTTTTGGGGGGCATTATGATCAAATTTTCTACCTAAAAAATCCAAAAGAACTAACTTGAAAACTATCAGAGTAAGAGAATTTCGTAAAGTGACTGCAGACACACACATGGATGTATACAAAGACATTTATAGCTTTACCATCGGCAAGCAATAACCAGTTAGGAAACAAAATGTAAATAAAAAAAGACTCTAATGACCATAATATTATAAAACATATAGGCAGACATCTATAAGAAATGTGCAATGTCTACATGAATGAAAAAACCCACAGAACTTTGCTTAAGGGTATAAATGAAGAGCTGAGTGAATGTAGAATTACCATGTTCCTGGATAGAAGATGCAAAATGCAAATACAAATGTCAGTTCTCTGTCAATCTATATATTTCATGCCATTTTAATCAAAATCCCATTAATTTTTTGAATTGTAATCCCAAGGGATGAAACCTAAAAAATCCACAGCTAAGCTAAAAAATGAAAGAAAAAAATATAAAGATATTTTCTAAGCAAGACAAGATAACCAAAAGCCATAAATGTGAAAGATCCACAGATATGATTGCCTAAAAATGAAAATCTTCAAGCAATTCAAGACTCAAACACAAAACCTAAAATCTAGGGAGAAAGGGTCAATATGCTTCCATTAAAAAATCCGTATGTATCCGTAAGAAAAACCCACAGCTACAACAGAGAAATGGACAGTTGTAAACAAGGCAACCACCAAAGAAACACAGGAAAGTGGTCTTATTCTACACTCTCAAAGTGGCAAAGGGGAACCAACATACAAAACAGGTAGACCATAACCAAACCAAACCATCACTTTTAAGGGGGAGGAATTCAAGGGACTATAACTGTATATTTAGAGGATTCTACAATTTTTTAATTTTACAAAGTGAAAGTGCATCACCTTTTTTTTTTGAGACAGAGTCTTGCTCTGTCACCCAGGCTGGAGCGCAGTGGCACGATCTTGGCTTACCACAGCCTTGACCTCCCAGGCTCAGGTGATCCTCCCACCTCAGCCAGCCAAGTAGCTGGGACTACAGGTGTATACCACCATGTCCAGCTAGTTTTTTGTAGAGCTGGGGTTTCACCATGGAGCCCAAGCAGGTCTCAAATTCCTAGGTTCAAGCAATCCTCCTGCCTCGGCCTCCCAAAGTGCTGGGATTACAGGTGTGTGCCACCATGCCCAGCTTTTTTGTAATTAAAATAAATGAAAACTTAAATTGAATTCTTTCAAGATTTACTTTCCATTTTCCTTTCATGAGATTTTTAAAAGACATATTACCTCTTGGTCCAGGTTATATTCTTCATTTGAATTAAGTGCAACTTTTACAGTAATATAATCCCCATTTTTCACAGCATCCCTTAACACATCTAAAATGAAAGAAAAGTGAAGTTAGCCTTTATATATCTAGATTTGTGAAAGGAATTTCAATATTTCCAAAACTACTCACTACTTGGAATTGCATCTGCTGCAGCAAAATTCTCATCTTCCCCATCAAGGTGCTTTTGGAAATCTTCTAACTTCATCCATTCCAACTGCAGGTCCATACCCAAACTCAGAATCTGCTGCCTGCCATCTGGAACACACAAAGGCCTTGTTAACATACATTTATATGAAGTATAAAAAACCTACCATGTTGTTTATTAAATTTGTGGTGTCTTAACCAAAGCTTTATGTATACTTTTAACGTAAGTCATTGTATAATGGGGTCTTTTAATTGATAAAATCCCCAATTTTCTTTGGGAAGTAATACGAACTATCCACATTTAGAAGCCACGGTGCTGTGAACGCTTAAAGATAAATAGGTGGCTGGGCGCGGTGGCTCACGCCTGTAATCCCAGTACTTTGGGAAGCTGAGGTGGGTGGATCACCGGGTCAGAGATTGAGATCATTCTAGCTAACACGGTGAAACCCCATCTCTATTAAAAATACAAAAAATTAGCTGGGTGTGGTGGCATGTGCCTGTAATCCCAGCTACTCAGGAGGCTGAGGCAGGAGAATCACTTGAATCCAGGAGGCAGAGGTTGCAGTGAGCTGAGATCATGCCACTGCACTCCAGCCTGGGTGACAGAGCAAGACTCTGTCTCACAAATAAATAAGTAACCTGTCATTGTAAAATAGCAAAGGAGGAATTTTAAGACTCAGTAGCTCAAAGGAAGGAGAAATCAGGGATCCGGTAAGAGGAAATGCAATTCTAATGTGACTTTTCTCCCTTCCACCATTCTTCTTGGACATACACTGCTTCCAACCATGTACAGATAAAGCCATTCTCAGTGTGTGAGCTAATCCAGCACGTAAGTCAAAGGCGCTGCTTATGGATCCTTCCAGACTCACTCAGGCACCTATGCCTGGAAGCCTCCTGCTCCCACAGTGCCCTGGCTCACACCCAACCCACTGTGAGGTACTGCTAGAGTTCTCCCCGCTGGGACCCACAGGTGTGGGAACACTGAGGACGCATGTGTTCAGCCTTTATCACCACTGCAATCGATCAGACTTCAGTGCAGCTTATCTGGGAGTAATTCACAATGGTTATGTGCTGTTTCTACAAATGAAAAACAGAAATACTTGATGGTAAGAGTTAAAGGATTTTCACCGGAAACCAATTCCTCAATCTACATAGATGTTAGGCAGTTGGCCCAGCCACAGATATAGTTTGTAAAACACATGCAATAACTGAGTAACTTTTTCCAAAGCCCTCAACTGAAACCAACACTTCTGCTAATTCTGAGAGCTGACAGCAGAGAAACAGCACAGCCTCTGGGCTGTCCGTCCGGCAGCATCCCAGCTCTATCCGCAACAGTAACAGTGAAAGCCACTAGCAATCACGACACGTTAACTTGTTTACATGAATGGATCGATTTCCTCCATACACAATAATCTGTAAGGGGAGACGTGTTACAGATGAGAGAAGCTGGAAAGGCTCCAGGGTTTGCTTGGAGACACACCAGAGAGTAGCAGAGCTGGTCTTCTTACTCAGGTGTCTGAGTCCTCCGTGGAGCCCCCACCCGGTAAGCCCCATAACCCATCCCACCACCAAGGAAGCAGCATGGAAAGACTGGAAGCAGTGTTCTTAGGTCTTTATGAACTGAGAGAATACCACTGAACTCACAGGGCTGCTGTAAGAACGGACAGCATCCCTAGACCAGAACCATTGGAAAGGCTGAGCTGCAGCTCAGACTGTGGTCTCTATCAAAGCAAACTGGTTCAAAACCTATGTTCATTCCTGACAAGTGCTGGTCCTTGCCTCTGGACCTGATAGGCTTAATTTTCTCTTTATTTTTAATAAGAAACTCGATATACATATATGAAAGAATGCATGTCATGAAACAATCAAGTGTGCTCTGTGGTCATAAGAACTGCCCAGGGGCACACACCTGTGCCTACCACAGCTGGCCCCTGTGTGGTGTCATTTACATCTGCAGTCTATGTCTCTCATGCTCTTCTTCAAAATAGCTTTGCCATAAATACACATATCCCTAAGAAATACACAGTTGGTTTTGCTTGCTAATGAGCTTTAGACAAATTGCAGGAGTTCTTTATGCTCTGGGTAGTGATCCTTTGTCTTTTCACTCTTTCTTATGGTAGCTTTGACAAATGGAACTATATTGTTCAGTCAATTTTATCATTCTGTTCCTTTATGGAACATTTTGTGTCTTAAGAAATCTTTCCCTACACCCAAGGTCATAAAGATAGTATCCTTAATCTCTAAATACCTAGAATCTAGATACTCTCCGAATAGGGCTCACTCCATCAGGATTTGACTCTCACGTATGGGCTTTTGCTACATGAATAACCATCTGTTCTGACACCAGTGAGAAGAGTCATCCTCCCCACAGGGACCGCGATGCCCCATCCTCTGTCCTTTATCAGAGTTGCACCGCCTGACTGAGGTCTCTGCCGTGCTCGCTAGTTCACCTACCTTCCTGTGCCAAGTAAATGCTGTACTGCTTGCTAGTTTGATATAGCAGGTTTTGACTGTTTATGGGGACAGCTGGCTCTGGCTTTTCTTGAATCTTCATATAAGCCACAGAAACAGCATTTGCAAATTCCATGAAAAACTGTGTTGACATTTTGATTAGAACTGCAGTGATGCTATAGACCAGTTTGGAGAAAATGACACATTTCTAAAATTGTTTTCCTTTTTTTTTTTTCTCTAAGACAGAGTCTCACTCCGTCACTCAGGCTGGAGTGCAGTGGCGCAATCTCGGCTCACAGCAACCTCCACATTCCGGGTTCAAGTGATTTCTGTGCCTCAGCCCCCTGACTAGCTGAAATTGCATGAGCGTGCTACCACACCTGGTTAATTTTTGTATTTTTTAGTAGAGATGGGGTTTCACCATGTTAGCCAGGCTGGTCTCGAACTCCTGACCTCAAATGATCTGCCTGCCATGGCCTTCCAAACTGCTAGGATTACAGGCATAAGGAACTGCACCTGGTCCCTAAAATCGTTTTCTAATAAAAATGCATATATACATTTTAGTAACTTTTAAGCAATCAAGAAATCTTTAAAATTTTCTTCGTACAGGCTTTTTTTTTGAGACGTAGTTTCACTCTTGTTTCCTAGGCTGGAGTGCAATGCCACAATCTTAGCTCCCAGCAACCTCCGCCTCTTGGGTTCAAGCAATTCTCCTGCCTCAGCCTCCCATGTAGCTGGGATTACAGGCCTGCCACCATGCCTGGCTAATTTTGTGTTTTTAGTAGAGACGGGGATTCTCTATGTTGGTCAGGCTGGTCTTGAACTCCTGACCTCAAGTGATCCACCCTGCCTTGCTGGGGTTACAGGCATGAGCCCCTGCGCTGGTCCTTTTTTTTTTTTGGAGACTGTGTTTTGCTCTATTGCCCAGGCTGGAGTGCAGTGGCACTATCTCGGCTCACTGCAACCTCCACTTCCCAGGTTCAAGCAATTCTCCTGCCTCAGCCTCCCGAGTAGCTGGGACCACAGCCGTGTGCCACCACAACCAGCTAATTTTTGCATTTTTAGTAGAGATGGGGGTTTCACCAGATTGGCCAGGCTGGTCTCAAACTCCTGACCTCAAGTGATCCACCCACCTCAGCCTCCCATGATTACAGGTGTGAGCCACCGTGCCTGGCCCATCATTTATGAACAATATTCTAAGCAATTTTTTAAATGTGTTGCTATTGAAAACCGTATCTTTTTAAAATATATTATTTATGTAGAAATGTATATAGGTTTAAAAAATAAAATTGGCTTTTATCACTGATCTTATATCCACTCACCTTGCTAAATTTTTAATACTTCTAATAATTTATAGATTCTTCTGGGTTTTCCATATGAATCTGATAGTAACAGATTATTATTATTTTCTTTTTTTGACAAGAGTCTTGCTCTGTCATCCAGGCTGAAGTTCAGTGGCGTGATTTTAACTCACTACAACCTATGCATCCTGGGCTCAAATGATCCTCCCACCTTAGCTTCCTGAATAGCTGGGACTATAGGTGGGTGCCATCCTGCCTGGCTAATTTTTGTCTTTTTTGGTTTTTTGAGATGGAGTTTCCCTCTTGTTGCCCAGGCTGGAGTGCAATGGTGTGATCTCAGCTTACCGCAACCTCTGCCTCCCGGGTTCAAGTGATTCTCCTGTCTCAGCCTCCTGAGAAGCTGGGGTTACAGGCGTGCACCACCACGCTTGGCTACTTTTGTATATTTTTGTAAAGATGAGATTTCACCATGTTGCTCAGGCTGGTCTCAGAACTTCTGAGCTCAAGTGATCTGCTTGGCCTGTCAAAGTGCTGGGATTACAGGTGTGAGCCACCTTGCCTGGCTGACAGCTTTTCCCCCTTCCTTTCCAATGCCTATGCCTTTTATATTTCTTTGCCTTACTGTACTGAGTAGACCTTAGTATAACGCTGAATAAAAGTGATGACAGAGGCATCCTTGTATTATTCCTGATTTAAAATCAATGTTTCAGGAGGCTGAGGCAGGAGAATTGCCTGAACCCAGGAGGCGGAGGTTGCGGTGAGCCGAGATCGCGCCATTGCACTCCAGCCTGGGTAACAAGAGTGAAACTCCGTCTCAAAAAAAAATAAAATAAAATAAAATAAAATAAAATCAATGTTTCTTCTGGTTAGTCATGGTGGCTCATGCCTGTAGGAGGCTGGGGCAAGTGGATCACTTGAACCCAGGAGTTAAAGACCAGCCTGGGCAACATGGTGAAACCGGTCTCCATAAAAAATCACATCAAATCAATGTTTCTAATGTTTTACCATTACAACTCATGCTGCTAAAGGGTTTGTTGTCGTTGCTGGTTTTTTAAAGACAGGGTCTCACTCTTGTCATCCAGGCTGGAATATAGTGGTGTTATCATGGCTCACTGCATCCTTGAACTTTTGGGCTCAAGTGATCCTCTGTCTCAGCCACCCAAGTAGCTAAGATTACACCCGGCTAATGTATAAATTTTTTGTACAGACAGGGTCTTGTTTTCCCAGGCTAGTCTTGAACTCCCACTTCAGCCTCCCAAAGTGCTGGGATTAGAAGAGTGATCCACCACGCCTGGCTTATGTTGCTAAAGGTTTAATGCTCTTTATCAATCGAGAAAGCTCCCTTTATTCATAATTTGTTAGGTTTTATTTACTTTTTAATCAAGAATGCCATTAAATCAATTTCTCCTTTACAATTCGTAGGAAAAACCCAATGTGATGATTTTTTTTTTTTTTTAAAACAGGGCCAGATTAAATTTGCTAATATTTTGTGGGGGACTTTTGCATGTGACTTCATTTAGTGAGTTTGGCCTGTCATTTTCCTTTCTTAGTTTTATTGTCTGGTTTTGGTACTGAATTTATAATGGTCTCCCAGAATGAGTTAGTGTTAGCATTCTTTGTCTATTTTTAGAACTACTTTTATGAATGAGTTAGTGTTAGCATTCTTTGTCTATTTTATAACTACTTTTATAAGTTTGGTTGCGTTTGGTTTGAGAAAACCATCTGGGCTTGGTGTTAAATTTATGAAGCTGTTTTAATTATTATTTCACATTCTTTAACAGTTGTGACTATTCAGTGTTTTTTGGATCAGTTTCATTAAATTATTTTTTCCCTAGGAATTTTCCCATGTCATTTAGTTTTCAAATCTCTTTTGAAATTTTAGAGATGAGGTCTGGCCATGTTGTCCAGGATGGAGTGCAGTGGCTGTCCACAGGTATAATCTTAGTGAACTACAGCCTTGAACTCCTGGGCTTAACTGCTCCTCCTGCCTTGCCTCCTGAGTAGCTGCAATTACAGGCACACACCACCACACCTAGGCAGTTTTTTTCTTTTTTGGATACCAAGTCTTGCTCTGTCACTCAGCCTGGAGTGCAGTGGCGCAATCTCAGCTCACTGCGACCTCCACCTCCCAGGTTCAAACAATTCTCCTGCCTCACCCTCCCAAGTAACTGGGACTACTGTACTGGTGCACGCCACCACACTTTAAGTCTTTGTATTTTAGTGGAGACGGGGTTTCACTGTTGTTGCTCAGGATGGTCTCAAACTTCTGAGCTCAGGCAATCCACCTGCCTCAACCTCCCAAAGTGCTGGGATTACAGACGTAAGCCACTGTGCCCAGGTGCCTAGCCAGCTTTCATATTTATTAGTAAGAAATTGCTCATAGAATCCTTTTTTTTTTTTGAGACAGTGTCTCACTTTGTAGCCCAGGACAGAGTGCAGTGGTGTGATCTCGGCTCATTGCAACCTCCGCCCCCTCCCAGGTCCCGGTTCAAGCAAGTTTCCTGCCTCAGCCTCCTGAGTAGCTGGAATTACAGGCATGTGCAACCATGCCCAGCTAATTTTGTATTTTTAGTAGAGATGGAGTTTCACTATATCAGCCAGGCTGTTCTTGGAACTCCTGACCTCATGATCCATCTACCTTGGCCTCCCAAAGTGCTGGGATTACAGGCATGAGCCACTGCACCTGGCGCTCACAGAATTCCTTCATCTTTTTAATCTGCACACAACCTGTAATCATGTCTCTTTTTTTTTGGCAATGAAGTCTCGCTGTGTCACCTAGGCTGGAGTGTGGTGGCACGATCTTGGCTCACTGCAATCTCTGCCTCCAGGGTTCAAGCAATTCTCCTGCCTCAGCCTCCCGAGCAGCTGGGACTATAGGCACACACCACCATGCCTGGCTAAATCCTGTCCCTTTTTCATGTGTTTCTTTTGTTCTCAACAAACTGTGTCAGAGGCTTGCTTATTTTACAGCAAAGCCAGGAATCCACTTCTGGGTTTACTGATGTTCCCCCTACTGTATCTGTTTCTTTCTGCCTGGTATCTTAACAGCAGTGCTAATTGGCATCTGCCCTCTGGGCGACCGACCTCTTCCTTCTTGCCCACTGGTACTAGAAATTACCCTAATTTCCTGCAAGCTCAGCAATGCATCCAAAAGCACATTTTACCTAGGTATCCAGGATATGGTCGTTTTGTAGTAACAGGGTTTCCCAGACAATCTAGTCTGTCATATATTCTCAATTTCTCAATTCTCTCCAACTGTTTCTCAAGATTCACAAATTATAAAAAGTTTTATTAGACTAGCCTTTCTCATTTATTAGGTCCTAGTTATAAACATACATGTACACATTTTAGTACTCCTTCCCATCACTACTGTAGTCTGTATTCTTCTTCTCGACCAATTCCAATGTCCTCAGGACATCATTTACAATATAATCTTATTTCATGTTATGTGCTGCAACGTTAAAAGGGCAAAATACAAATAAGTTAGTATTTGATAATTTTCTGAAAGAAATTTATTAAATAGTAAGATATAAAATGAGGCTGCCAGGTTAAGAATAGGTAAGGTAGAAAATCAGAAATATTTTAGTTTCTATATGTGCTGAGAACATAGGAACTCAGAAAAATTGTTTGATCCATTGAGAAGTCACAGAATGACCCAAGTCTTCACTATAAAATGTTTTTATTATTTATTCAGGAGATCCAAATAAAGAGTTTATTTATCCAAATAAACTCTTCTATTCCATTACTTTTTTTTATCTTGAAAGCAAAAATACAGAGAGAGAAAAGTACAATAAAATATTATGGTGCAGCACTTCCCTGAAAAATTGATTCCAGAACGATTCCAAACTCACCCAATTTCTCATCTGCTTGGCACGCACTGTCTAAAACATCCTGATCACCTTCCGCAGCAATGTATGCCCAAGTATCTGTTTCGTCTCTGGTGTTTCTCCTTTCTTTAAGTGACTGTTTGTTTTCCTTGGTTTTGTGATCGTCTATGGTTTTAAAATCCAGTGGCATTTCTTCTCTTTTTCGATTATTCTCAGAAACATCATTTTTTTCTTCTGGTGTTAATTTCAACAAATCAAATGCACTTCTTATTTCCTTAAGTGCTAATGAAAAAATTAAAATTGATAGTTAAGTATGAGTCACAAATTTCTGTTACACTCAAAAGAAAATCTAAGTTAGTGTTAAACCAAGAAGATATTTTCTTAATTTTTACTAACCTCTACCTTGCTTATAAAGCCTGGTTCTGATTTACTATCAAAGGCACAAAATCATTTCAACTGGTCTTTCTACCAGTCACTCAATATTCAGAAATGATGTCCAGTGTGAATGGCTATTAAGCAGATGCTGTGAACTACTCAACTCCTGTTGTGACAAAGGCCTACTGAAGACAGAGAGCCTAAGAGTGATCCAAGTCTCACCAGCGTCTTTCTCACTGCTAAAGACACCAGACTGTCTAATAGCTGGATCCTGAAGCTTGTACAAAAATGGTTTCTGGTGGCAAGTGAGGGAAATAGCAGGGTGCCAGAGCATTGCCTGTGTACCTGGTAAAACTGTACCTGATGCTACTAGCTTTTAACTAAAGAAGAAAGTGGGAAAGAAAACTGGCAGGTACTAGAACTGATATAAGAAATAACTCCCGAGATAAATTTTAGGGACAGCGATCCAAGATGGCCGAATCGGAACAGCTCAGGAGTGCAGTTCTCAGCAAGAACAATGCAGAGGGTGAGTGATCACCAATTTCCAAACGAGTTATTACTGCCCACAGACCAGGAGATTCCCAGGCTGAAAAGCACCAAGAGTTTCCTGCATGGCTGTTTCAGCTAGCACAGTGGGTCTCTGCACAAAAACTCACACAAAGCTGGGTGGCCATTTCAATTGGCGCCTGGAATGCCTAGGAGACAGAGCCACCCATTCAACTGAAAAAAAGGGGGCTGAAACAGGGAGCCAGGTGATCTGGCTCAGCGGGTCCTACCCCCACAAAGACCAGCAATCTGAAACACTCTGGATTGAGAGTTTTGCAGCAAATGTAGCTGGACCCGGGAGCTCTGTCGGGGGAAGGGCGTCATACGCTACTACCGAGGCAGTCCCTCATTACCGAGGCAATCTGCCATTACCGAGGCAGTTCTAACTATACCTCTATAAACAAAACCACAAGGAAGTTCACACAGCAGCTGGACAGAGTCCACAGCAGCTCAGCAACGCCTCTGCTCGCAGACTGTGACTAGGCTATCCCCTCACTGGGCAGGGCATCTCTGAAAAAAGGCGGTAGCATGTCAGGAACTTATAAATAAAGCCCCACCTTCTCAGGACAGAGCACCTGGGAAAAAAGGCGGTTATGAGTTCCACTGCAGCAGACTTAAACATACCTGCCCAGCAGCTCTGAACGAAACAACAGAGCTCACGGCTCAGCACTTGAGCTCCTATAAGGGTCAGACTGTCTCCTCAAGCAGCTCCCTGATCCCCGTATACCCTAGGAGACACCTCATAAAGGAGAGCTCAGGCTGACATCTGGCGGGTATCCTTCTGGGATGAAGATAACAGAAGAAGAAACTGGCCGAAACCCTTACTGTTCTGCAGCCGCCACAGGTGATCCCCAGGCAACAGGGTCTGGAGTTGACCTCCAGCAGTCCTACAGCAGAAGGGCCTGACTGTTAGAAGGAAAACTAAAAAACAGAAAGAAATAACTTCATTATCAACAAAAAGGGCGTCCATCTGAAAGTCACCAATTACAAAGACCACAGGTAGCTAAATCCCCAAAGATGGGAAGAAACCAGCGCAAAAAGGATGAAAACACCCAAAACCAGAACAACTCTCCTCCAAGGGATCACAACTCCTCATCAGCAAGGGAACAAAGCTGGATCGAGAATGAGTCTGATGAATTGACAGAAACAGGCTTCAGAGGGTGCATAATAACAAACTTCTCTGAGCTAAAAGAACATGTTCTAACCCAATGCAAAAGAAACTAAGAACTTTGAAAAAAGGTTTGATGAAATGTTAATGAGAATAAACAGCTTAGAGAAGAATATAAATGACCTGATGGAGCTGAAAAACACAACATGAGAACTTTGAGAAGAACATACAAGTTTAAATAGCCGAATCGACCAAGCAGAAGAAAGGATATCAGAGATTGAAGATCAACTCAATGAAATAAAATAAGAAGGCAAGATTAAAGAAGACTGAAAAGAAATGAACAAAGCCTCCAAGAAATATGGGATTATGTGAAAAGACCTAATCTACGTTTGACAGGTGTACCTGAATGTGATGGAAAGAATGAATCCAAGCTGGAAAACACTCTTCAGGATATTATCCAGGAAAACTTCCCCAAGCTAGAAGGCAGGCCAATATTGAAGTCCAGGAAATACAGAGGACACCACAAAGATATTCCTCAAGAAGAGCAACCCCAAGGCACATAATCGTCAGATTCACCAGGGTTGAAATGAAGGAAAAAATGCTAAGGGCATCCAGAGAGAAAGGCCTGGTTACCCACAAAGGGAAGCCCATCAAGACTCATGGCAGATCTCTCAGCAGAAACCCTACAAGCCAGAAGAGAGTGGGGGCCAATATTCAACATCTTTAAAGAAAAGAACTTTCAACCTAGAATTTCAAATCCAGCCAAACTAGGTTTCATAAGTGAAGGAGAAATAAAATCCTTTACAAACAAGCAATTGCTGAGAGATTTCGTCACCACCAGGCCTGCCTTACAAGAGTTCCTGAAAGAAGCACTGAACATAGAAAGGAACAACCAGTACCAGCCACTCCAAAAATGTACCAAATGGTAAACAGCATTGACACAGTGAAGAAACTGTGTCAACTAATGGGCAAAACAACCAGCTAGCAACAAAATGGCAGGATCAAATTCACACATAACAATATTAACCTTAAATGTAAATAGGCTAAATGCCTCAATCAAAAGACACAGACTAGCGAATTGGATAAAAAGTCAGAACCCACTGGCGTGCTGTATCCAGGAAACCCATCTCATATGCAAGGACACATATAGGCTCAAAATAAAGGGATGGAGGAAGATATACCAAGCAAATGGAGAGCAAAAAAAAGTAGGAGTTGCAATCCTAGTCTCTGATAAAATAGATATTAAACCAACAAAGTTCAAAAGAGACAAAGAAGGGCATTACATAATGGTAAAAGGATCAATGCAACAAGAAGAGCTAATGATCCTAAATATATACGCACCCAATACAGGAGCACCCAGATACATAAAGCAAGTTCTTAACCTACAAAGAGACTTAGATTCTCACACAATAATAGTGGGAGACTTTAACACTCCACTGTCAATATTAGACAGATCAACCAGACAAAAAATTAACAAGGATATCCAGAACTTGAACTCAGACCAAGCAAACCTAAAAGACATCTACAGAACTCTCCACCCCCAATCCATAGAATATAAATTATTCTCAGCACCACATCACACTTACTCGAAAACTGACCACATAATTGGAAGTAAATAACTCCTCAGCAAATGCAAAAGAATGGAAATCATAACAAACAGTGACCACAGTGCAATCAAATTAGAATTCAGCGTTAAGAAACTAACTCAGAACCACACAGCTTCATGGAAACTGAACAGCTGGCTCTTGAATGCTGACTGGATAAACAATGAAATGAAGGCAGAAATAAAGTTGTTCTTCAAAACCAACGAAAATGAAGATACAACGTATCAGAATCTCTGGGGCACATTTAAAGCAATGTCTAGAGGAAAATTTATGGCAATAAATGCCCAAATGAGAAGCAAGGAAAGATCTAACATCAACACCCTATCATCAAAATTGAAAGAGCTAGAGGAGCAAGATCAAAAAAACTTAAGAGCTAGCAGAAGACAAGAAATAACTAAGATCAGAGCAAAACTGAAGGAGATAGAGACACAAAAAAACCCTTCAAAAAAATCAATAAATCCAGGAGCTGGTTTTTGGAAAAGATCAACAAAATAGAGCACTAGCCAGATTAATAAAAAAGAAAAGAGAGAATAATCAAATAGATGCAATAAAAAATGATAAAGGGGATATCACCATCAATTCCACAGAAATACAAACTACCATAATAGATTACTACAAATAACTCTATGCACATAAACCAGTAAACTTGGAAGAAATGGATAAATTCCTGGACACTTGCACCTTCCTAAGCCTAAACCAGGAAGAAGTTGAAACCCTGAATAGACCAATAACAAGGGCTGAAATTCAGGCAGCAATTAATAGCCTACCAATCAAAAAAAAAAAAAAAAAAAACTCTGGTCCAGATGAGTTGACAGCCAAATTCTACTAGACATACAAAGAGGAGTTGGTACCACTCCTTCTGAAACTATTCCAAACAATCCAAAAGAGGGAATCCTTCCCAAATCATTTTATGAGATCAATATCATCCTGATACCAAAACCCAGCAGAGACTCAACAAAAAAAGAAAACTTCAGACCAATATCCATTATGAACATAGATGCAAAAATCTTCAATAAAATACTGACAAACTGAATGCAACAGCACATCAAAAAGCTTACCCATCACAATCAAGTAGGCCTCATCCTGGGGATGGCAAGGCTGGTTCAACATACCCAAGTCTATAAACGTAATCCACCACATAAACAGAACCAAAGACAAAAACCACATGATTATCTCAACAGATGCAGAGAAGGCCTTTGACAAAATTCAACAGCGCTTTATGCTAAACACTCTCAATAAACTAGGTATCAACGGAATGTATCACAAAATAATAAAAGCTATTTATGACAAACCCACAGCCAATATCATACTGAAAGGGCAAAAATTGGAAGCATTCCCTTTGAAATCTGGCACTAGACAAGGATGCCCTCTCTCACTACTCCTATTCAACACAGTATTGGAAGTTCTAGCCAGAGCAATCAGGCAAGAAAAAGAAGTGAAGGATATTCAATTAGGAAAGAAGGAAGTCAAATTGTCTATTTTTGCTGATGACTTAATTGTATATTTAGAAGACCCCAACGTCTCAGCCTAAAACCTCCTGAAACTGATAAGCAACTTCAGCAAAGTCTCAGGATCAAAATCAATGTGCAGAAATCACAAGCATTCCTATACACCAATAACAGACAGACAGATCAACAGCGAACTCCCATTCACAATTGCTACAATGAGAATAAAATACCTAGGAATACAACTAACAAAGGATGTAAAGGACCTCTTCAAGGAGAACTACAAACCACTGTTCAAGGAAATAAGAGAGGACACAAACAGATGGAAAAATATTCCATGCTCATGGTTAGGAAGAATCAATATTGTGAAAATGGCCACAGTGCCCAAAGTAACTTATAGATTCAATGCTATCCCCATCAAGCTACCTATAACCCTCTTCACAGAACTGGAAAAAACCACCTTAAACTTCATATGGAACCAAAAGAGAGCCCACATAGCCAAGACAATCCTAAACAAAAAGAACAAAGCTGGCCAGGCGCAGTGGCTCAAGCCTGTAATCCCAGCACTGTGGGAGGCCAAGGCGGGTGGATCACGAGGTCAAGAGATCGAGACCATCCTGGTCAACATGGTGAAATCCTGTCTCTACTAAAAATACAAAAAATTAGCTGGGCATGGTGGCGTGTGCCTGTAATCCCAGCGACTCAGGAGGCTGGGGCAGGAGAATTGCCTGAACCCAGGAGGCGGAGGTTGCGGTGAGCCGAGATCGCGCCATTGCACTCCAGCCTGGGTAACAAGAGCGAAACTCCGTCTCAAAAAAAAAAAGCTGGAGTCCTCTCTTATTTCCTTGAGCAGTGGTTTGTGTTCTCCTTGAAGAGGTCCTTTACATCCTTTGTTAGTTGTATTCCTAGGCATTTTATTCTCTTTGTAGCAATTGTGAATGGCAGTTCGTTCTTGATTTGGCTCTCTTTAAGTCTGTTATTGGTATATAGGAATGCTTGTGATTTCCGCACATTGATTTTGTATCCTGAGACTGCTGAAGTTGCTTATCAGTTTCAGGAGATTTGGGGCTGAGACAATGGAGTCTTCTACCTGACTTCAAGCTATACTACAAGGCTACAGTAATCAAAACAGCATGGTACTGGTACCAAAACAGAGATATAGACCAATGGAACAGAACAGAGGCCTCAGAGGCAACGCCACACATCTACAACCATCTGATCTTTGACAAATCTGACAAAAACAACCAATGGGGAAAGGATTCCCTGTTGAATAAATGTTGTTGGGAAAACTGGCTAGCCATATGCAGAAAGCAGAAACTGGACCCCTTCCTGACACCTTAAACTAACATTAACTCCAGATGGATTAAAGACTTAAAAGAACTAACACCATAAAAACCCTAGAAGAAAACCTAGGCAAAACCATTCAGGATGCAGGCATAGGAAGGACTTCATGACTAAAACACAAAAACATTGGCAACAAAAGCCAAAATAGACAAATGGGATCTAATTAAACTCCAGAGCATCTGTATAGCAAAAGAAACAATCATTAGAGTGAACCAGCAACCAACAGACTGGGAAAACATTTTTGCAATCTACCCATCTGACAAAGGGCTAATATCCAGAATCTACAAAGAACTAAAATAGATTTACAAGAAAAAAAACCAATCCATTCAAAAGTGGGCAAAGGACACGAACAGACACTTTTCAAAAGAAGACACATATGAGGCCAACAAACATATGAAAAAATACTCATCACTGGTCATTAGAGAAAGGCAAATCAAAACCACATTGACATACCATCTCACACCAGTTAGAATGGTGATTATTAAAGAATCTGGAGACAATTATTAAGATGCTGGAGAGGATGTGGAGAAATAGGAACACTTCTACACTGTTGGTGGGAGTGAAAATTAGTGTAGAATTGGTGGGAGTGTAACTTCAACCATTTTGGAAGACAGTGTGGTGATTCCTCAAGGACCTAGAAATAGAATCCATTTGACCCAGCAATCCCATTACTGGGTATATATCCAAAGGATTATAAATTGTTCTATTATAAAGACGCGTGCACACATATGTTCATTGCAGCACTGTTTACACTAGCAAAGACCTGGAACCAACCCAAATGCCCATCGATGATGGACTGGACAGGGAACATGTGGCACATATACACCATGGAATACTACGCAGCCATAAAAAACAAGTTTGTGTCCTTTGTAGGGACATGAATGACCCTGGAAACCATCATTCTCAGCAAACTGACACAAAAACAGAAAATCAAACACCGCATGTTCTCACTCATGCATGGTTGTTGAACAATGAGAATACATGGACACAGGGAGGGAAGCATCACACACTAGGGTTTGTTTGGGGGGGAATAGGGGAGGGACAGTGGGGGTAGGAAGGTTGGGGAGGGATAACATGGGGAGAAATGCCAGATAGAGATGATGGGGAGATGGAGGCAGCAAACCACATTGCCATGTATGTACCTATGCAACAACCCTACATGTTCTGCACATGTATCTTAGAACCTAAAGGGCAATTAAAAAAAAAATAACCCCCAAAAGAAGATAATTAGGATGAATTCCATTATAAATTCTGGGTATACAGCAGACGAGTTTTATTATCAGGAAATGTTGACAACTGGACTCTAGTGAGGACCTCTATGAACGGAACAAACAGTAGTTCCATTTAAGACTATATGTTCACAGTAAAAATATACCTGAAACTGACATACTAGATACTAGGAGGAAAAAAACGTTAACAAGGCTAGGTCCAATTTTGCAGTATTTTGAACCTCTAATCATTCTTTGAAGACTAGAAGGCATTTACTATTTTTGTTTTGCTTTGAATAATAGTCTTAAAGCCACTTTATGTGTAACCCACTGAAACAGCCACTGCTCCTGCCTAGCTTCATTCACCTGCTTCTACTGCCAACCCCAGCGTAGGCTTAGAAAAAAATTACTTTTAGTATTACCTCAGTTACATACAGCTTTCAGGAAAAAAAACCCAGAGAAAATCATCCATCTCTTAGAACCATTGTTTGCAAGAAAACATGTGTTCCAAGTACTTTTGCTACAGAAACTAAATATTTATCTGCTAGGGCTTATTCAAACACTGTAACGGTGTGGTTTTTTTTTGTTGTTTGTTTAAGAAATATAAAGTATCTGCTACAATATTGATATGTATTATGGATTCTCTATTATGGTCTATCTTGAAGTGATCCAAAATGTATATTTAATGTATTTATACAAATAACACAGAGTTACATATAATGAATATAATAAACAAAAGGTGTTTTTCAAATTTAGCATCTGCCATAAAAAAACATATTTATTTTTCTGCCATAACTAATTTCCTGTCTCAGTAATTCTAATCTGATCCCTCATCATATTAAAAAGAAGGAAAAACAAGGTGAAAAGAAGGAAAAAAATTATATAAACTTTTATATAATAAACTTAGGTAACTTGTTAATTATTTGTACAATACATAGCAATGTAAATGGCAAAACATTAATATTTACACTCACTCTTTAATCCTTTCGGCTCTTTTCGCCCTTTTTCTTCCTTGTCGGAATCATGCCTTTTCTGATATTTTTCTTTGGGTTCATTTTTTTTGGTCTCTTTGTCCTGAAAATGACATGATATCCAAAACAAGAATGGATAAAGAGTTGACACTGTATATTTATTTGAGAATGGAAAATACAGGCTTGTGGCTTCAGGGAACCACCCTTGTATAATGTCGTACATGATCACTGATCACTAAATTCTTTTCACACAAAAGGATTTTGCTTCCTCAACCATATAATTCACAAAATATCAAATTCAAAACTCAACACCAGTTTTTCCACCCTCTTTTAGGAATTTCATTATTAAAAATATAAAATTCTAAAAAAGTTTTCCACCCATAGTCTTAACCATGACTATTTTTACTTCTCCATGTTCCCCGTTCTGAGCCTTGTACTTTTGCATGGATAATCTTTTTTAAAATTCATTTTTATTAACACTACAGATATTTTTACCTGACTGTATTCATACTTATGTAGGGTTTTCTTCTCCACCGCATTTTCTAACCTGTTCCATTTTGCTACACTGACCTAATAATTAATATTTCAATAGTTCTAATAGTCCCCAAGTTGACACATCAATATTTCCTTAACCATTTCCTCTGTGGCTAGAAAGTTAGATTGCTATCCATTTTTCATTAATAAAGATAATACTGCCATAAATAACTATGTATGCACAGCTTTTCCCTCTTTAAAATGATTTCCTTAAAATAAATTCCCCAAATTGGAAATAAGGGATAAAAAGAAATGATGTTTTTTACAGCCCTTGATAAATATTACATAAATATTCTCATAATTTGGAAAATATTTCCATTTTGCAAAGCCATATAAAAATAATTTTTATAATGGGTCAAACTCTTATTAAATGCATTTTTGCCACCATTAAAACACTTGTAATGTTAATGTACTTTGGTCCTATTATTTAAGTAAATAGTGGAAATAACCAACTAGGATGTGAAAAGCTAATAAAAACAGCTGATGAAGCTACAAACCTGAATATACAGTGCTCTGTATATCATCTGAGTACCTCTAAAAATCATCCTGAGTTTTGTTCAGAAATTAGCCTTTGATTTTCTAGTCATAATCATTCTAAGAGAAAACAAGCCAGGGACTAAGAGATAAGTCGCAGGGTCCAAAAGCTGGAGGAGCTTCATTTATAACCACTTATGGTTACAACACTTTCTTACAGCTTGGCTGTTTCCCTTTCCTTGCTTGTGAAACGTCTTGACCACTCAACATGGGTTTTCTGATGCCTCTGTGGCCCTTACCTCCTCGGCTGAGTCAGTGGACCGGAGGCTTCTCTCCTCCCCGCTCAACCTCCAACCCTTTGGAGTTTGGGCAGACACAGGTGTCAGTTTCTCTAACTCTGTGGCACTTTTTCCTCTGTCTTGATTCCTCTGCTTTTTAGGCACAGTTTTTTTCTCTAAGAAAGTGTTCTTGTTCTCTAGCTTCCTGCTCTCTCTCGTGTCCTCAGACTTTCTTGGGGTCTTCTTTTTCCTCCTGCCTCTGACATCGGTTTCCTCCTCAGCACTCAAGGCATCATCCAGGGGCTTTCCGAAGCTGCGCTCCAGCCCTGCGTCCTGCCCTGCTTTCTCTCTTGCACTTTTAGTTTTTTGTCTCTCTTCTCTGCTTTCAGAAAGTAGCCCTTCACTGTCATCCTCTGTAAAGGGCAATTCATTAAGTACACTTGATTCAGGTTCCACCTGGGATTCGACCCATTTTTCTTTTTTTGTTTTTCTATTTTCTTTGGGATCTTCTCTTGTTTTCATCTTTAAATCTCTTATTTCGCCCTTTTTAACTTTCTTTAATTCCTTTGTTTCTTTTACTTCATCTTTTTTGGGCTTTTTGGACTCCTTTAGTTCTTCTCTGGCTTCCGAAATTCTTTTCTTTGTCCTTAAATCAAAAACTAAACTTTCCAAGGAGCTCTCCAGGTCTGGTTTGGACTTGTCTTTTAGTTTTCCGGCCTTTGCCTTTTTCTTTTTCAGATCATCTGGGCTTTTCTCTTCTCTCTGCCTTAATTTTTTCTTTTTCTTCTTTGGGGAAGTATCTTCTTTTGTCTCACTTTGCTGATCGCTATCAGAGTTTGCCTCAAATATGTCATTATTTAAGGATAGTTTCTAAAAAAAAAAAGATTAAAATATCCATTAACATATTAATTTTAAAGGCTTTGAAAAGCAGTACCAATGAAATCTGGTAAGAATATTTTTTGTCCTAACCAGAATCCCAACTTCCTAAAACTGCTTAACCAAGCTGAAATCATATGCTGCCTCTATCTCTGACTTAGCAAACAGGTCTTGGAAATGAGGGCAAGTGTGAGTTTAGAAAGCAGGGGCACACAGAAACACAATGCTGCTGAGCGCCCAACTCAAAGCAGGAGTGAATGGACTCAGGTATGGTAGGTTGTAAATAATCTGAACTTCAATATTTCCAAAACCACCAAGAAAGTAATCTTTACAGGCTGTCTTGGCTGCCAACAAAGTAGTTACCAATGCAAACACAAAATGTTTTCTAAGACCCTGGGTCCCGCAATGTTCTTAAAATTGCTCCTCGATTTGACAGTTACGTATGGAGCAAGACTGCATACAAATCTTACTTCCCAAATGCATGGGCTGTTATCTGAAATATTGCCTACAAAAAAATATTTTCCTATTCTAGAATTGAAAAACAGAAACTTAAGAATAAAGTACCTGTACAGACACAAAAACACTATGCAAAGTATTTTCAGTTCCCATTTCCCAAAACCACCTTATCCTAAATGACTTGGGGGTGAAGAGAAGGGAAGGAAATGATAGATATACTTTTCTCTTTTTTTTCTGAGATGGAGTCTCGTTCTGTTGCCCAGGCTGGAATGCAGTGGCGTGATCTTGGTTTACTGCAGCCTCCGCTTCCTGGGTTCAAGTGATTCTCCTGCCTCAGCCTCACGAGTAGCTGGGATTACAGGTGTGCACCACCATGCCCTGCTAATTTTTGTATTTTTAGTAGAGATGGGGTTTCACCATGTTGGCCAGGGTGGTCTCAAACTCCTGATCTCAGATGATCCACCTGCCTCAGCCTCCCAAAGTGCTGGGATTACAGGTGTGAGCCACAGTGCCTAGCCAGACAGATATACTTTAAAAATGTCTTCCCTACACTGCCTAAGAAATGGACGCCACCAAGGTTAACAAGTAGGGATATGGTAGCGCTAGCTTAACCTTTCCAATCTCCTTGAATCACCTCATAAAAAACAATGAGAACACATGGACACAGGGAGGGGAGCACTACACACTGGGGTCTGTTGGGGGGAAATGGGGGAGGGACAGTGGGGGGTGGGAAGTTGGGGAGAGAGAGCATGGGGAGAAATGCCAGATATAGGTGAAGGGGAGGAAGGCAGCAAATCACACTGCCATGTGTGTACCTATGCAACAATCTTGCATGTTCTTCACATGTACCCCAAAACCTAAAATGCAATAAAACAAACAAACAAACAAAAAAAAACAAGGCAAGTAGGATAGCCAAACAAAATTCCCCCACAGACAGCTTTTAGTTTGGTAAGTCCCAAGTCCACACCATCCAGGCCTTACCAATACTAAAACAGCAGTGAGGCCCGTGCAGTGTGGACAGTCACTCAGGGGAGGCGAAGGCCACAATCTGGAAAGGCCCAGGCGGTTGGTGCCTGAGAGTACAGCAGTGGGGTGGGGCCGCGTGCACCTTGGGTAAGGCAGAGAGAAGTGGGGAGGAGGCTGGCCCCTCCCAGGCCCTGCAAACTCCCAAAAAGGACCAGGGAAGCTCCCCTCAGGAATTCCAGGACCAAGCCCTACAAGGAGGACAAACTGCTAGGATTGGATTCCAAACAAAGTAGGCCAGAGAAGACAGTAACAAAAGATCTAAAAAAAAATTTTCAAAGTTAGCTAGGCTAACTGACTACCCAAAAAACAATAAAAGCATGCCAAAAAGACATGTCTATAAAACAGCAGAGAAAACAAACAAAAACTTTGGAGCATCACGCAAAAAGACCCAAGTCACTTATTAGACAAAGAAACCCAATTGGTCATCAACAGCAGTGTTTTGTGCCAGATGACAATGGATTAACATAATAAGACACCTAAGAAAAGAAAATGTGCACCAAGGAATCTGCAACTGGCATTCAGAGAGAAAAACTGCCAACAAACTGTTAGGAAACACAAGAATTCAGCAAATATTGTTCTCAAGAGCCTTTCCACCACAAAGGTGGGTTGCAAACTCTTGTGTCCACCCCCACTGGGGACTGACGCTCCTGCCAGAGTCCACATTTGGAGAAGCCCTGTACTAAAGCATGAGCTTCAGATAACCAAAAATGACTGGACAAACATCACCATATGGACTGGTGGAAAGCATTAATTATGTATTTGCTTCTAGAACTAAGACTGAATGAGGTTATAAGAGAGACTGCAGTACCTGTGACTAAATGTTCTGACAAGGTACAGTGAAATAATGGGGAGACGTGTTGAACATATTAAAGGAATATTATGCTTGCCCATTATAGTTATTAACTTAGTAAGGGACAGTATTTCAAATTAGATACAGAGGGAGAGAGAGGGCAGGGAGAAGATAGGTCCTACTTAATTTCTACTTTTATCCTTTAAACCACATTAAGTATTTTACATACTCAACAAAACTACATCAGCAAGGATGGGGGAGCCCTAAAACTGAATACAGACAAATGAACCTGCTTATCAAATTGATAACAAAACCACACAGAAGAAAATGCAAGTAACATTAAACAGTGAATATATTCTTCTGAACATTAAACAGTGAATATATTCTAAGAACAAAACGAACTGCAAATAAATGTGGAACTTTATAAAATAGGTTGATAAATACTGTTTGTTGTTTGCAGTAGAAAGGACATAGCAAATCTGGGGCTAATTTCTTTGTATTGTTAAGATTTAGTAAATGAGGGTTGTGACCAGAGTTCTCCTGGTAGGAAAAGGGAGAGCATGCAGGGTTTTATGGTGACAGACTGAATTACAGAGGTCAGCACAGATTTATTAAGGCTGGGATGTGCCACTGTGTCAGAAAGGAGAGCAGTACTACCCTGAGAGAGAGAGCACCAGGACATAGGGGCTGGTATGAAGGGGTTCCCAGATAAATGTGCAACAGTTTTAGCACCAATAGTAACACGCTGAACAAAAGAATCTCTGAGAATCTACTGGTGCCAAAAATATCCTTGTTTGTTTTCTGAATATGTATTAATAAAAGATTATTTTAAAGGAAGGGCAAAGAGCAAAATTATTACTATATGGTAAAAACTTTAAAAGAAAAATCAGGTTGGGCACAGTGGCTCATGCCTGTAATTCCAACACTTTGGGAGGCTGAGGTGCAAGCATCACTTGAGGCCAGGAGTTCACTACCAGCCTGGTCAATAGAGAGAGACCCTATCTCTAAAAAAAAAAATAGCCAGGCATGGTGGGGTGTACCTACAGTCCCAGCAGCTTGGGAGGCTGAGGTGGGAGGATTATCACTTGAGCACAAGAGGTTGAAGCTGCAGTGGGCCATGACTATGCTACTGCACTCCATCCTCAGTAACAGAGGCAAGATTCTGTATTTAAAAATAAATAAGTGAGAAGAAAAGAAAAAAGTCATACATCTATGTACAATCTGAAGGCAGCTCAAGGGCAGAAAATAGATTTTACCTATCTTTCTGTAACTGTAACTGTTTAAGGGTCTGGCCCATATGAGACACTTCATGTTTACTCAAAAAAGAAAAAAAAAAAAGCTAAAAATACTAAAGTGTAGACAAAACATTTCAGTAGAAGTCTATTAGTGTTATATAACATCACTCAAAGCTCACGACAGATCAGTAGTCACCTTACTTGTAGATTTTCAACAGTTTTAAAAACAAATTAAGAGCTGGATCATATCACACACATGGATATTTAATGCTACCTCCTTTGTTTTTATTTTAGCTTGAAATAACTCATGGTCAATCAGCCAGGCGTGGTGGTTCATGCCTGTTGTTCAAGCTACAGTGACAAGGCCTTTAATAACATGTTTTAAAAATTATTAAGCACAGTGAGCATGTATACTACATAAGTGCGTTCAGCACTCTAGTATATAGTCTAAGATGGGAAACTGAGGCTTAGAGGAATTTAGAGTAGCTGAGGTTAAGTACCTAATCCAAGTTCACCCACTGAGTAATGATACAGCCAAGGAGCTATACTCTTAACCAGTTTTGAAAATCTATGCTACAATGACAGGGCCTCTAATAATATGTTTTTAAAGTTATTAAGCAAAATTCTCAGTACTTTTTATAATATTTATAAAGGAAATCCTTTACGAAATGAGTCCAGAATAACGTAGAGATTTGCATTGCCTATTCTTTTGTTTTAGTTATACTTAACTTTTCTCAGATGCATACCTGGCCCCACCTTCCCAGTTCTTTCCCCAAAATCACTCATGTGTACATACTAATACACCTGTTTTACTAAGTGATTGCTTCACTTATAAACCTGTGCTGACCCAATGTGTGGTAGTTATGTAGCGTACACACATGCTCAGTAAATGCCAGCCACTTCTGTTATTACCATTATTAACAACTACTACACTCAATCAAAACTAAGAATGTTTTGGTCATTTAAAAAAAAGACTAAGTATTTTTAAAAATATAGTTGAAACTTAAATTGTAGGGAGAAAGATCAGTGTTTAGCCTATAAAATAAGTAATGAGAATCATTCTCTTAAAGTAACATATCTTCACTAGATAGTTCTAAGTTTTTGTTTTTTTTTTTTTTAAAACCAGTTCCTCACCATATAATTTGTTTTAAATAGCAGAAAAAGCAGGCATAAGACATAGGTTAATAACACAGAATAAATATAAAATATACAAAAACAAGTTGCTCATATCATGGATGAACAAATCATAGTTTGGCATGTCTCTTTTTTCTCCACTTTCACCTTACTCTCTTTTTTTTTATTGACTCTGACTGACCAGTGGGACTTACTCTTAACTTAAAAGAAAATATCAATATTCATCTCCAAACTATTCTTGCTTGTCAATTACAACTGTAGGTTGGGTACAGAAGGAAGAACCCAGCAAAAACCACTGAAAGCAGTCTGTGAGAACTAGCTACATGGAATTTACACTAAGGAATATTACAATTTATCATTTGTAAATCATTTACTACATACACTTTAAAAGAGTTAAAATTTCCAATAAATTTATGTACATAAAAACAAATATGAGACAAAACATGATACCTGAATATCCTTCCTAACTGCTTTGGCTTTGTTCTCTGCAATCTTCTTCCTAAATTCAAGAAGCACTTCTTTACAGTCCTCCAGGTGAATCTCAGGCTCCCAGGTGTCGTCATCTGATGCATAGCCTTTCCAGCGAACTTTGTAAAGAACTTTACCCTGTTATAGAAAATAAAAGCAGGCAAATAAAGGAGGTCACTAACTTGATTAAATTTCCAAAAAACAAACTGCTGAGAAGACATGAAACAACTTGAAAGCTGCTTCTAAATGGAAATTATCACATTGTAAAGCATATCCATCTCCTGAGAAAAGTGGCTTAAGAAACAAAGTATCAGCCAGGTGCTGTGGCTCATTAATCTCTAGCACTTTGCAAGGTCGAGGTGGGCAGACTGCTTGAGCCCAGGAGTTTGAGAACAGCCTGGTCAATATGTTGAAACCTTGTCTCTATTAAAAATACAAAAATTATGGTGGCATATGCCTGTAGTCCCAGCTACCTGTGAGGCTGAGGAAGGAGAATGCTTGAATCCAGGAGGTGGAGGCTGCAGTGAGTGGGGATTGGGCCACTGCACTCCAGCCTGGGCAAAACAGCAGGACTCCATCTCAAAAAA